TATCAATCAAATGTTATAAAACTTTGGCAAGCGCATTCATTCTAAAAACTTTGCAGCTTAATGATTTGTAAATATGAAGAAAGAACAAGCGCGGAAAAGAATTTCAACTGAAACTCGAACTTCAAATACACTTTTAGATAGAGGAACAAAAAGAATCAACAGATTCAGATTTGAATGATAATTTGCAGATCAATATACTGAGATACATGTGTTCCAAGTGTTAAATTTACTATGAGGATAAAGTTCATTGTAGCTTCCATCAATTGTTTGCAGCTAATACTACAATACTTTTTATACTTTTTAAATATTTTTCATATACTCATGATTTAGGAGTATATCACGGAATATTTGCCAGGCAGATGAAGCTCATTGCAACTTTTGAAATGTGTCTTTCATAACATTATGGTTGACATAGCTGTGCTGCCAGCCTGTGTTTAGAGTAATTTACGAAGGGCGATGACAATGAACTGTTGAGCTGTTGCAAGGAAGTTGGACGAAAGTATGTAGCAAGTGGCAAGTAGTTCAAGTACTAGTTGCAACTACTTATGTCGCTCATGAATTCTGCAGCCAAGTTGTTGCCGAGGAAGAAACGTGATTTTGCTGTCGCTTAAAACTTGGACATAGAAACTTTAAAGCACACTTTTAATGATGACTTCTGTGTCCTTTGTGTGGCTGCGTCGCGCCGTGCGACACTTCAGTTGGAACACCTAACATTATTAATTTTTGCGTCAGGTGTTCAGATTGGAACTCAATTTGGTGAGCTTTGCTGCAAAGTTGGCGTTAACACACTTTGGGCCGGCCTGAATACAGCAAAGAGGCTGATCAAAGTGAAACTGGGACATACACGCACAGAGAGGGAGTCATAGAGAGAGAGAGGTATATATAGACCCACTCACACACACACACACACTTAGCGCTACCTCTGACTACCTCGGCCACTGCCAACAGCTTTTCTGCTGTGCGTTCTCAGCTTTTGAGCTAACAGCTTTTGACATTGCATTAACGCCAGTTGGGAACGCGTCGCTGCTTTGCCAGCTTGTCAGCCGCAACAACAGCAACAGCCGACAACAACAATCAGTTCAGGATGAGGGGCAACGCCTGCACAGTTCGTTACTCAATTTGCGGCAAGAAACTTTCATTATGCGCCCTACGTAACATGTGATTCTCATAAAAGTCGACCCCCAGTCAAACATACAACACACAGCACACACAACACACACACACATACGCATACACACGCTTCAGCACTTAAATGAAAACGTGTCACTGAGTTTTAATTGCGCGAGCATCAACACAAACACAAACACAAATACAAATACAGCTGCACATACACTAAGCACACACACACACACATTATCACATATGAACAAAAGGAACCTATATAGAACATTCTTGTTGTTGTTGTTGTTGGGTTTATGTAAGTTTTGTGCGTGGTCAGTGTTCGGATAACGCCTAAGTTGTTCAGCTTATCATCACATTCGTTTTATGGGTCAAGCATTCGAGCAACAGTTTGAAATGCTCTCAAGCCGTCCAGTGCATTTCAAACTCATGGGCTTTACTCATATGATATTGGATTTGATTTTATTGCTACTCGAAACAAATGTTTCTTATTAATAAGACTTTTCTTATTCGAATTAATGTCTAAGACTTTTCTAAATATTTATACATTGCATATATAACATATATGTATAAAATAATATATAGTATTTTTATCTCTTTTATATAGATAATCAAAAATGTAAATGTTATACAGCAACAGAATGATAATGAAGATACATAAGAAGACTTTCAGATAGTTAAATTTGCTTCAACTGTGCAAAATATTTAGAATAGAGTTTTCTGAAAATTTAATTTAAATCTAATTATTCGTAACTTCAGTATATTTCGTACTTATTTCATTCTTATCTTGTTACATCTCAACTCGATAAAATATCTTCATCAAAGATTATTATATTTATATTATTGATATTTATCGCCTTTGGCAACACTGTTTGCTACCAAGAGGCGAACACTCAGCTCAAGACAGCTAGCTACCTGGCAAACACCTTTTATCCCCTATTTGTCGACTACCTAATGAAGTCATTCTAATAATAATGAACAAGTTGATGCGCAACCCGGGCGCAGGGCGTGGCAGTGCACAGAAACAAAGGGCAAAAGACATTTGACAGGCCTCGGCAACTCTCTCTCTCTCACTCTCTCTGTGGCAGGCAGATGGCCAGACAGGCGAAGAGTTTAAAAATAAAGATGCGAAGCATCTGCCGCAGCGCTGAGTCAACAGAAATGAACTGACGAAATGAAATGTGGCAGTTGAGATAGAATCGAGGCTGCCGAGGTGCAACGGCGCGTAACGTGAAAAATAGGTGGAATAGTGCATCAGTGGGACATTGGGACTGGCCCATAGTCAGGCATAAATTGTGATCTAGCTCGAATGCAATTAATTTCGTTAAATCAATAAAAATAACAATTTTTCATTGCATGTGAACAAAAAATAACGAAAAGAGACCCACAAACAGCAGCAGCAACAGCAACAGAAACTTTATTTGGCCATGAAAATTTATAGTTGACATTTTATGTTGTATAGTTTTAGCTTTTTGTGGCTTTGCTTCTAATTTATGGCTTAAAACACAACCAACAAACAAAATATTTACACACACACACCCACACCACTGCTGAATACACTGAGCGGAAAATTGGGTAACTTTTAATTTTCATATTAATTAAATAGAATTCAGTTTTCAATTAGGCTTGTGAGCTCCATTCAAAGATCTCTGTACCCTATAAAGTTCTGTTGATTTCTATAGAGTCCTCTAGTTGGCCGTGCCCGACTTGTGGATACCACGACCACTACATAACTGATTTAATAAAATTGCCAGAGCATGATAATCTACTTTCTAGAAATCGAATCTAAACAATTTCTAGATTTATCTAAAGTGTTTCGCAACTTATATTTGATTAGAGTACTTGTACTGTAATCAAGTATAGCTGACTTTATATATAAGTAATCTGCTTTAAACTTGGCTTACAAAAAGTTAAGTATCCAACACTAACCAGGTCATATTTTATTTTTGCCTGTGTGGCGAGTATCTAAAGCAGCTGCTGCAATTTTGTTTTTATTTTAGTTTTTAAGGAAGCTGGCAACGTCGTGGCATATGGCCAGTCAATGGAGTGTGGTGCAGGACACTCCGAGGCACGGTGCACGGTGCACGGACACCTATGCATTCTATATTTAAAAGTATGCGCAAACAACTTGAGCGTTTCTTTAATCGCCTCACGTTTCGGCTACAAGTGCTTAGCCGGCGAGTTTACTACAATATGCGTCAACAACAACACCAACACCAGAGACAGCGACAACTACATCAGTTCCTTGTTGTTGTTGCTGTTTGGTCGTTGCTTTCGTTTTAGACGGCACGTGAACTTTTATGCTGCGGTTGTAGCTAACACTGCCAGCAGCCGTGTGTTGCATGCTACACACACACGCACACACACACACATTAATACAGATACAATAACCGCCCATTGGCCCCCGTTGGGCAGCATCTTTGAACGTGAACTATTAGAAAATGTTTACTGGACATGTACATGCAACATGAACCTGCCACCGGCTATGGCCATGTTTCCTTGTCCTCGTGGCATGCAGCAAAAATTGTTGGCAAGCTTGGGGCAAAAAATTTAAAAGGACCAACAACAGCAAAAAAGGTGCCAATCAACTGCGTATAGCAAACATTTTCAAGCCATTTAAATATGAGGCAACTTCATTGGACAAGTAGAGTAGGAAAACATTGTAGAATCCAAATACAAATTAATGAATTATTAATTTAAGATTTAAGATCATGTAAAAATGTTAAATTCGGGTGGCACCGACTGCATAATACCCGATCATAGTTCAAAAACAGTTGAATATTGATTGGAAAGTCTCAAGAGGGACTCTGCTTTATAGCTATAGCTCCAACAGCTATGGAACATATAGTTTATACGAACATATAAAAGAGGTATTTACGAAATAAAAGAAATCAATATTTATGTTTTTTAATTAACTTTTAAATTATCTTTTTTCCATATTTGCTGATGTGTAGAAATGTTGTTAAATTTATGGTAAATTTCAATTTCGTCTAAAATGTGATTAATGAATCGATTTGTGGACTCAAGTTTTGGCGTTCGTAGACAAAATTTTTGCTTTGGTTAATGCAAACGACTCAATAAAGCACCTGGAAGCAAATCATACATAATTTAACCGGTTTTTCAATCAGGTGGTAAAGTTTTTTTTCTTTCTGTTTCTTTGTCTGAATGAAATTATGGAACGAGCTAAGAGAAATATTAAATCAACTCGTGGCGAAACTTGATCTGGGGCTTTTGAACTTTGCGCAGCGGTTTCATTATTATTATATATATATATATATATATATAAACTATTAATAATTGCAGCTAGTTAAAATTTATTTTATGTATTTACTTGGGCATTTGCACAAAGCTGCAAAAATGTATTTTTTTTCTTTTCTTTTTTTTTGTATGAATAACAATTGGAAGCGATATTAATATGCAAATGTTGTTGATGCTGCAGAAATGATATTAAAAAATATTTAATAAATAAAAATGAACAATGGCAGAGCTCTACATGCTGCAACAAATAAAAATAAATGTTTAAAAAGAGCTCACGCTCAATAATGACAAAAACGTAAGATAAATAACAAAAGCAATATTGTGGCAAATAAATTACAATTACTTTTTATTGAATAATTTTTTTTTATTTCTGTATTTTTTTTTGTTTGCGTGTAAATTGAAAAATAATATCAATGCACAGAGTGCAGATTAAATATTATTTATGCTATTTTAAAAATGCTCTCAAGCGCAGTTCTCATAAATAAACAATTAAGAATTAGCAAAACTTCGGACAGACAATTACGATTAATCGCAGCAGAAATCAGGCAAATACCATTTAACTGTTATCTGCAGTTAATAATTTAAGCGTTAATTGCATAACCGTATAATCGGAATTAGTTTACCTCGCTTGTGTCTCGCATAGTTCGAGGGTTCGTTGGAGGCGCAACAGGGCTGTTCGTAGTAGAAGTTCCATGTGTTTTCGTAGTCCCCAGCAATTTGTTGGGCTGCGCATGCCAGCAGCAGCAGCGCCAGCAAAGGAATCAATTGCACTTGCATTCTGGTTTTTTGTTTTTGGGTGTGGGCACACTGGTCTGCCCAAACCTCAATTGGATTATTACTTTTTTTATTGCCTGCCGACAGACGCTCCGAGTGAAAAAGAGAGAGGGAGAGTTTGTTGATCCAACTGGCAACCGCTGGCAATTTACTCGCCAAGCCGCACAGAAAAAAGTCCTTTTAAATAACTGTTAACACATTTAAGTTGTATTATTTTGAATGTTCGCGAAATATTTTTACACTTGCATTGCAATTTCCATGAAATTGATTTTGCAGCAGCAACAGCAGCAGCAAATGGGTTTTAAATAAATTTTCTTTTCGCTGTGCCCAGCAACAATTTCGTTTTGATTAATTATATATGCAGGCACACACATACACAATATACACACATATATAGAGAGTTTGCATTTTTACAGTTTGGCGCGTTGGTGTGCATTCAATTTTCGAGGCATTTAGCACTCAGCAATTGATAAAAAGAATAAAAGAAGGTACACAAAATAAAATATTAAACAGGCGACAAACTGGTTTCAGCTCTGGTACCCACGCATCTGCAGCAACAACAATGACTACAAAGAGCAGGCCGACAAATTCTTCAACATTTCCGCCAAGCGATCGGACCAGTGTGAGCGAGAGCGCGTCATGTGTGAGCGGTGAGACATATAAACAAGCTGCTCAACAACAAGGTTGCCAGAGCGTCGGCGCACGGCGTTTCGTTTTTATTTCACAGATTATAAAATAAAAAGTATTAATCTTATATCGTGTATCGAATGCACTCGACAATTAAACTATTAATTAATATTTTATCAATGGATCCATTTCATTTTAAAACATCTGTGTCGTGTGTGCCACACAATTTATGACTCTGGCAGCTCAGATTTACTTGCACTTTATGCAAGAAATATACACATTAACATATGTGTGTGTATAAGTGCAAACAGACACACTCACACACATGTGTGCACACATAGGTCAAGATGCATACACACTGAAACCGCTTAACAAAAAATCGAATGCAGTGTATAAAAATATTATTTTCAACGTATTGTATGTATGTAATTCACTTTAAATTTTCATTGTTTGCGCGATTGTATTACAATTGGTCAGCGGCCGATTGCTATTTTTTTATAACATAAATTCACAATAACGAAAACCAAACAAAGATGAACGCGCAAACCTCACAAAAAGACAACAACAAGATCACTGGTTGCGTCGCTGACAAGTGTGACCGAGTTTACTGAAGAGAATAATCTCTATTTTAAAGAGCTAAGGAGCTACTACTGTATAAAAATATACTAGAAAATTGCATTTGCACAGAGGACAAAACCTAATTGATATTTCAAAACGCTTCAAATAAAATTCATTTAATTCTAACTCTTTCAATATTGACATTTACTTTGAAATAGTTTTTTTGTTAGCATTTGCAAATTGAATTTTATTTGCAGTGTACCACTCTGCTATGGAGTGACACTTGTCAATTAATTATACATTTTTCAAATTCCAAACTCAAATAGTTTTTCGCCGAAATGTTTTATTATTGTTTTGGATATAGTATTATTTATTTGAAACAATTTCGAATTTAGCTTGTGTGCTTTTACTGGGAATTTATTATTCATTCGCTAAACGCATTGATTCTCGGAATTTGCCGCAGAGCTTTTTCCTTTGGTATTTGTTGGCTATCCTTTGCTCGATTTGCGGCATCTGGCCACATTTTGAAAGCCCAACGGCAACAAACTGTGGCCGGCCAGCGCATAATTCCCAGACGGGGTGGCCCATCGGAATGTTGCGGGACACCTTTCACAGAATCTCAGATCGGGAGAGGTGTGGTGAGACAACGGTAGGGAGAATAAAGGGCTACTCTGTAACTGTTAAGGAAAGGGATAAAGGAGGTCCGGCAACACGTCCTAACACGTTTGCTAGACAAAATTGTTTCAAAACGTAGAGAAGTATGCAAAAATTGCAGCACGCGTCGTCGTCTGGTTGATTTTCCCATTGCATTTGCAGTTTCAATTTTGGAATGCAAACTCGTGCGGAAGTAGTTTGTTTGTGTGCGTGTGTATGTGTGTGCGTGTGTATGTGTGTGCGTGTGTATGTGTGTACGTGTGAGGCTGGGCAATTTTAAAACGCCTTTATTGCCATCTCTCTTGCTCATTCTTTGTCTGACTGTGTGTGTTTAATGCTTGGCGCTCAAAATGTGATTATTTTAAATGCTGCCGACGACGCCGGCGACATAACAATTTTGAATGCAGCTCAAAATAAAAGTCATTTTGTTAAGCAGACAAACGCACTCAAAGCGAAACCTGCTTCACCTGCACACAGACACGAACAGGCACACACTCAAAGGAAGATGAGTATGGTTTTTGTCTGGTCTGCCGTCGAGGTTGCCAGACTTTTGTAGCTGCCTTCACTGCTGCATCGCTTTCCGTTGCATACCTTTGGGCGGCAATTAAAAACAGTTTGGCAGTCACAGTTGTTGCAATTGAATGTCTTCCTCAGCTTCAAAGTAAGCGAGTGCCGCTTGTTAAATAAGCAGCAAAAGAGGAAAATACGCATATATATATTTAATATATATATATATATATATTTAATTAAAAGCCAAGTCGTTTATGTTTTCATTTTCGCCAAGTGCCTCTTTCACGCTCCGCGTCGTGTGTGTTATTTAATACAATCTGCAATTGTCAATGGAACTAGCCTGACTGTTCTGTCACTCAGTTGACTGTCTGTCTTACTGTAATTTTTTGTGTCTGTCTGTCTCATTCTCTTTCTGTTTGCCTGCTAATGAGTTTTTGCAGCATCGCCTCGCCTCATTATGCCGCATGCAATGTGCTTGCCTCTCGCTTACTCTTTTGCCATGATACTGTTGAACATTTTGATACACCCATACACCCACGTGCACACACATCATTTTGCAAGCTGCTTTGATGTCATATCCCTTTTTCCCTTAAAAGTCCCAACTTTTTTTTGGTGTTTTTTGGCAGCTTTTCAAGTGCAGCTTTTTCCTTTGCTGTTGCTGCTGTTGTTGTTGTCATTGTCATTTGTTTTCGCATACAGCAGCAAAATGTTTCTTTACACAATGTCAACTTTCAACAAAGGACTTTAATTAAGTCCTTAATGACAGCTTAATTTAGCGCACTTCTCGGGGCACACTTTGACACGTACCACAATACAGGGACACATGCTTCGCCCGCTATCGCTTTGTCTCACTCTCGCCTCCTCTGTTTGTAAGTAACTGCGTGTCTGAGTGCCTCTGTCCCTCTTTGTCTCTCTCTCTCTCTCTCTCTCTCTCTCTCGTTCTCTCTGCTATTAGTTTCTTTGCCTAATTTACATGACCGTTTAATACCCTAAGCTGCTGAAATAGCATTTTGATGATATCAAATAAAAAGAAAGCATAGAAAACTTTATGCATAAGCAACAACAATGTTGTTTTGCAGTTGCTCTTGTTGTTGTTGTTCGCTGTGGTCACTCAAGCTGTCAGCAGCGAAAGCAACTTTTATGCATTACATAAAAGAAAAAAAACGTTGAAAGTCGCACAAATAAACAAACTATATAAAAAACAACAACAACAGCAACAAAAAGAAAGCAATAAAAACCATTTGTTGTGTTGTCGTTGTCCTTGCTGGTTGCCAGTTGTTGTTGCTGTTGCCGTTGTTGTTTGTGTGTTTTGTGTGTTTGTTATTGTTGTGCCAAGTTGGCTTACTCAAGTTACTTACAAAGATTTCAATGCACTTTACTCCACAACTTGTTCGCGAACCAAGAAAAAAATATGGGAGATGGAAAACCTGAGCAGCAACAGGAAAACAACTAAGAGCTTTGACAAGGGGTGTTTGCGACTGCGTAATACTCTTTCACTATGGGAAGAGAAAAGCTTAAAGTAAGGTTTCAAGCTTCCAACTTCAGTCAGTCAGTCAATCAGCCAATGGATCGCTTACATCTCAGTCAGCCTTTCAGTATGTCTATCATTCATCAGTCTCTAAGTGCACAGTCAATCATACTACGAATCAATCAGTCATTCAGTTAATCAGTCAGTTAGTCAATCAAGCAATCTGTGAATCATTCATTTATATAGACGAATTAACACTCTATCAATCAGTCGAATAGTCAGCTAGCCAATCAATCAATAATGTCACTCATTCTCTCAATCAGTCAGTCAATCATGCCAGTCAGTTGGTGAATCAAACAGTATATCGAGCAGTCAATCATATCTAACAGTCAGTTTGCCCATCAGTCAGTCAATCAATCAGTAAGACAACTATCAATCGGTCAGTCAATACGTCTGTCAGTCAATCAATCAGTCAGTTTGTCGCTCATCATATCCCTCTCTATATAGATGTAGATTCTTTCAACTAGGGCCCTATATACCCGCCTTGCAGCCTATGAACGGGCATCAGCCGCAATAGCAACAACAAATTTGACTTCTGCAAACTGTCAGAGCAAGCAAATGGCACTAAATATTAAGTTTGCCTTTTGCAACTTGACCAAAAGGCAGAAGAAACGTAAACTGCTTGGGCAGGACTCCAAAACTAATGAAAACCTTGTGCGTGTGTGAGTGTGTGTAAGAGTGTGTGTAAGAGTGTGTGGTTGTGTTGCCAAAGTTTTTGCCTTTTGGCTCGACCACAGAGTTTCTCATGAGTACAAACTATGCTCCATGCGGCACTTATTTCAAGTTCAATTAATTTTAAGTGCGGCGGCCATTGTGTTGCACATGTTTGTTGTCGTTGTTGTTGTTGTTGTTGTTGTTGTTGTTGTTGTTGTTGTTGTTGTTGTTGTTGTTGTTGTAGTTGCGGTTGCCTGCCTGCTAGCTTGTTTGTTTGTTTGTTTACTTGTGCTCACCAGTTTGGGGCAGACATGCAATGTCAGCGCTCAGCGCTCAGCACTCGGCGCGCAGCGCCTGTATTTATGCTATAAATAATGCAACATATTTTGCATAATGACAACTCTCGACTCTCGACCAAATACATCGAAGCAAATAAGCGCGCGTATACATATAGTTAGACTAAAACCTTGTGTTATGCAACCGCAACGCAAAGTTTGGCTAATTGCATGCTGCACACACGCCCCGTGCCCCACGCATAGCCCACGGCCCCTGCCAGAATACCCTGTCAACCTAGCTATTTGGGGTACATGTGCGCACATGCAATCCATCAAATTATCAAGTATTGTATAAGGCGCTCGGCCCTATAATTAGATAATGTCTATTTATGTTTTTATTAAATATTTAAGCAGCAATTTCGGGGGAGGGATGGGTTAAAAGAGGGAGAGGGAGAGGTTGGCAGACAGAGTAGTGAGTGAGGGAGAGGGAGAGTGAGAGTGAGAGCAGGATGGAGGCAGGTATGTGGTCAGAGGAGAGAGGCAGAACTGAGAAGGGCAACAGAAAGGGGAAGAGAGAAAAGGCAGTGGGAGAGTGTGAAAGATGGTGAAAATGAAAGAGAGACAGAGGCAAAGAGTGAGAGATATTGGGAGTGAGAGGGAATGAATGACATTGAGAGAGAGAGAGAGAGAGGGAATGGTAGAAGAGAAGAAAGAGCAAGCTAGAGAGAGAGAGGCATAGAATGAAATATAGAGTGAGACATAGAGAGAGAGAGGTAGAGCTAGAGAGAGACACAGCTAGAGAGAGATGGCGAGAGATAGAGAGTCACGTCGAGAGAGACGCCAAAAAAGCGGAACAAAGAGAATCAGAGAACACAGCATTAAAAAGAAAGGAAAAGAAATTACAGTGAAACTTGGAGAGAGAGAGAGAAGTTTGCTTGAGAAAAGACTATGAAGTCAGGGTGAGCGAGATTTCGTGGAGGACGAAGTGGATGAGAGACTTGCAAGAGCAAGTGAATATATGTATATGATATGAAAACCTGTGAATATCTCTTATTATTATATCATATTGTAGAATCGTATATAAAATTCAAAGAGAAAATCGACTGATGAATAGGTTTTGTCAGCTTTAAAAAGTACGAAACAATTTTAAAGACATCGTCACAGAATTCGATGTTCCTTAATGTTGATTGACTTTTTTTGAAGAGAAAACTTAGACTTCCAAGAAGCCATTTATT